AAGAAACCAATAAGTCTGTGTTCCGTAACTAACTATCGCGGTGATCCCAATGACATCATGAGTAAAAGCAACTAAGCTCCAGGACAAGCTTGAAAGCACTTTTCCTGATAAGTCTGATGATTAACACAAATTTCCTCCTCCTATTAGGTTCACTGCTGTGCAAGTGTATGGGTCGTGCCGCATTCACGGCTCCGGTATTGCGTGGCAAATAGCTCAGATTCTTCCCATCCCCACCTCTTCCGCGATACGCGCCCTGAAAAATGTGGTGTCTGGGTCTCTCTTGACCCCCTCTTATTTCGTCACTTGGTCTCCGTCTGCAATCCTTCTTCGAGTATGCTCCTGCAATTCCCTTAGTGAGCTGCAGGAAGGGAGCATATTTTTGCCCTGCCAGGTAGATTCCTTTGCTTTTCTCCTCCAGCACACCACTTTGCTCTTAATGCTTAAGCAATTTAACCCTACTAACCATATCTTGCTATCGTAGAATTTGCCTTCGAACTGCGTATGTATCTTCCCGTCCAAGGAATATGATTTTTGGAGAACGCTCAGCCCAATCGATTAATATTCTAGATGTTCTTTTAGTTTTAGGAACATAGCTCTCGGCCGGTGAAAATAAAATGAATATTGCAATTTTTTGTAGACTTCCCTCATAAAAGAAAGGCATAGAGCTAGAAAATTTCATACTAAAAATTGAGAGGCCTAAAATAAAAAATGATCTGTGCTTCAGGTGATTTACTTTTTACCTTCGGAAGATATCTACATATATCTACATTACCTCCAGTGCTGGCGATAGAAGTGCATCGGCTCCGCGCATTCGCATATTAGAGTAGTTTGAAATTCGAGGTTGTCAGTTCAAAGGCAGGTATCAATAGTAGAAAGCTGAGGATAATCTGTGCGTGGGTGCGAAAAACGATGAGATCAATGACGAGGCTGGCTGGTTATTCTGTTTGTTTAACGCTCTTCAGGGGCACATCAATGAGTAGATCTCTTTTTATTTTCTTTCATAAAGATCGCTGAGCGTTGATATCAATTGTAGTGGGAGTACTAATTCTCCAGCGTTAGTCTCACTGAAGCTTTTGCTTCAAAGGCACATCCAGCATGGCAGGCCTGATTTTATAGAGTGATCGCGGAATGATGTTTCTTTAAGTGGACACTTCCTATTTGGATTGACGCTCGTCATCCTCTTTGTGATGATGAGCTAGTTTCGATGCTTGTCCTATATATTTCGAACCGACCACACAGTTGGCTCTCCAGCGCTGGCCAACGCGACATGGGAAACAGGCCCGATGCTGAGTCTCATACGCATTATGAAGCTTAACACGTTGACGACAGCCCCTTATTCG